CACAAGAGAAAGGGAAGATGTTTTCAAATTGCATTGTCTTTATGGATGGAAAATTTGGGGGAAGAAAATGGAAGACCTCAATTACAAGTGTGGAAGTGTATAGGTAAATATTCTGTGATATTTCAAATACTGATCTAACTAAATGTTATGAACTAAATTATGAGTTTCAAATTTCTAATGTATTCTGCAGGTCTGCTAATAGTGATGAGACAAACCAAAGTGACAGTAAGAAAGAAGAGAGTTTCAGAGCATGAAGGCTCTGGAAGGATCTGTGTACATTTGTTGCAGAAAGGTAATGATGCTGCTGTGGAGGAGACATCAGCATATGCAAAAAAAACCCAAATCCCGTTATTTGTGAAAAATGCAGAGCAAATAGGTTTTCTGTACTTGGAGAAGTCAAGGCAAAGTAGCCATTCGCAGTAATGGAATGTAAAATGCATAAATGGCTGCTACTAGCCTACAAAAAGTATGAATGTTTAGGAAATAGTTTTGTGAGAACCTTACAGAAGGCATTTGGAAAAAAGGCTTTGCTTTTCTATCCCCTTCCTTGGTGAGGGAGATGCTGGGTGTGTGACCTAGCATCGATCGCATACATGAATCCATTCCCAGCTGCAGAATCTGAGAGCAAGATTGCACCTCTTCCTGCTGAGCAGACAGACACCAGGTGAAACACTTAGCAGGGTGGCGTAGCTCTGGAGCAAATCTGGGATATGGTCTTCTGACAGGTTGTACCCCTTTATGGTAATGCTAATGATAAATTGGACACATAAGAAACCTGTTAGAGGAAACTTCGAATTGGTGAAATGTCAGCTGACAGACTTCTGTAGTATATATTTTTGAATGGGTCTTCCTGACTTTTACTGAGTGCACATCCTGATTTTCAAAATGGCACTTCAGAGTAGTGTAATTGAGTTCTAAAATATAATTAAAATAATTTCACACATACACACACCCCCCTTCCCAAATAAGAACATTCACACTGAGTAATCAAAATAGCAATTCCTTAAATTCATGTATTTCTTTAGCCCAAAGGTTTTTACATTTTTGGGCTCGGATGACTTTTGATATACTTGAATTTTCAACGTATATTTAGGATCTGTTTTAAGTAACATAGTAAAGAGGCGAAGGAACAAGGAATCTTGTACTAAAAGTTTAAATGCTTTTTTTTTCGTCTGTTTTGATGCTTTTCATGTCCAGTATGCTTCCTGATGGGTTGATCATATTTTATATTGTGAGTTGAACTTAATGTGAAATAAAAGATGAGGGGCTTTTAGCTTCTCTGTCTTTTAAAATGTACTTCCAAGAGAATGCTGAAGGCTTTCTGTAACTAATGATCTGATATCTGGGGTTTGATATTTGGCGTGCTATTTTATGTAACTTTTAAAAATTAAACTGAGAAGGCATAATTAAACTTTGGAGAAAAGGTTTTTATAATTTCTTCAGTAAGATATTAAATTCTGTTCCACTGTCAATGCAACTAACACTCCTGCTGTAATGTAGATCTAAATAAACTGATAACTGTATGAATATTTTTGCTTCACTGTGCTCAAGATTGTCTGAGTTTATATGAAAACACAATGACTTCTCAAATTTCAGTGCATGGAAGCTGTGTATGTATGTTAAGGAATATGGCATGTGGAGTGTCCTTCAAGGTTCAAGTGTGGGGTGCTTTTTAGTCTGCTAGCGTTTTCCAGAAGCGCATAGTGTTCCCTGCGGGTGTCCCCATTTACTGTCCCAGATGATTTCCTGATGCTTTCTAAAAATTAAAGTTTCTAGATATGAGAACACTTTATTTTGTTTCCAGGACACTGCTGCTTTGGACTGAGGTTTTTTTGTAGGAATTACAGAAAGTCAGAGAGTGCTCTCAGGTATCTCTATGCTATTGAGCCACCTTCCAGCTTTGGTTTATGGCAAAGTCCCAGCAGACCTGCCTGCCTTGGTCAGAGAAGAAGCCCTGTTGGTTTTTATTCTTGATTACAAAATAACTCTGTCTTCTATGTATTGAAGCTGTGGTCTTGAATCCCAGAGGAAATGGGGAACTTGCAGTTCACAAATTTCAGTGGTTAGATTTAATCTTCTGGGAAGACAGAAGTCTTGGTTGTGATGCAAACCCTAAAGTACAATACTTCATATCTGTTGTGACACCTGCTGGTGTGATTGTATTTGCATGCTTTCGTTTGTATTTTCTATCATTGTATTTCCAGAGAGATGCTTCTCTGACAGTGTAAGAGGTCGACTACCACAGTCTAATTGTACACTGCATAAGAAGGATTTCTTTTCTATATCTTTGGAATTTATAAATGTGTAATCCTTGTGGTATGCAACAGGTAGAACTAAATACCTTGTCTTCCACTTCTAGGTGTCTCTTCAGAACTTGTGGCCTAGAATGTAGAGTACTTTCTTTTTATTAGAGACTTCCCTAGCAGTTTATTTTCCAAGTTTGTTTTCCTTGAATGAACAAGGTCTTGTGCCTGTAGTATTGTGAATCACATGAACCATAAGCCAATATTTTCTCCTCAGATTGTTAAAACTTACAATCTCTATAATACTGATAATATAATCAGAAGTCTGCACTTCCTTCACATAACATTATAGTATTTTTTCTAGTATATAGTGCACTTTCTGTTTAAAAAAAAACGACAAAAACAAACAAACTTCCCCAAAACAAACAACCCCCCCCCACGATCACTTACTTAGCATTTCTCTGGCTTGTTCATTAGGGGGCACTGCATAGCTGTAGAAGAATGAGTGGAATCTGCAGAGAAACTTTCTGGGTGCTTTCCAATGATACCACTTTACTTTCCACCTTTTCCAAACTGTCCAAGGGCAGTGTAAGATTAAATTGTTGCTGTAATTTACACTGAATTCTGACTAAGTCTGGTTTTGGTAATTGTACAGTACCATGCTGGAATATAAACTTCCAAATTCCTGTGTCCAGAGAAGTGTCTTCTTAGTAGTTCAGAGTACTGCCTGATTTGCCATTTGTGTTGGTGTTACACAGACGAAGACACACATTTCTGCACAGCACATTCTAAATGTTAAACCTGGAACATAATTACACTCACTGGATTTTGATTTAGTTTCTATTTTTCTATTTAGTTTCTATTCTATATTACTCCCAGTGGAGTAATTTTGAGTAATTTCCTGTTGGTAAAGTATTAACTGCTTTCTCTATATGCAAATATGTATTTTGCTTGGGGATATGGATGAATACCAACGTTTTTGCAACTGTGGAGAGGTTGCTGTAAAAAGCAACATAAGAGCAGAATTTGCAGTAATGGATGTTAATCTCTACTAGTTTGTTTCTGAAAAGAATGTACAGAATACTGTAGGACCTAGTAAGGCTTATTTTCAAGGAGATCAGGCTTAAACAATCTCTTCCACTGCTGAAGAGTAGCAACCCAGAAATTGTAGGAAATCCAGCAGACTGTTTTGCTGGAAGTTTGTAAAAAAGGTAGCATACAAGACGAAGAGCCTCCTCTGAATGCTTGTGCAGGAAAGATGCGAAATCTTAGAGGTAGTTACAGCTTTTTCAGAGCTTTCTCTCAAGACTTCTGCCACTGGTGCTCTACCTGCCACATTGGTCTGAAATCCTCTCTGAAGCCAGATCTGCAAAACTTAAGCAAAGGGGAGATGATAGCTCCACTAAATCTGGAGAGAAGAGGAATATGAAGAAGGGAGTCTGTTCCTTCTTGGATGGTATCATCTCCCTAAGATCTTTTGGGGAGTAATGTTTGTTGTGGTGTGTTCTCAGACCTATTTCAGTGGTTGTTACACAAGTGGGCTCTCACACCTAATGCTGCTTAGGTTGAGAGTACGACAGATGGCACAAACCAAAGCTGCCTAGAATAAACTTTGCGGTCATCCTTATGGCTGAAAACACAAATAAAGTAGTCTTTGACACTGACAGCTGTTGCAGTGAATTATTAACTCTAGTCAGGGAAAAAATTAATGCTGTTCTCTGACCCATTAAAATACCAAACATGACTTGTTGTACTCTGTTGGATTTTGGAGGATAATACTTATATTTTACACTGGAATTGAATGGCACAATTGTACTTTATCCAAGAGTGTCTCATTCTGGTTCGTGTTGGCCTTCATTTCACTTCTACCACCAAAACAAATCCTTCAATTGTGTGGAGCTAAATCTTGATGTGTGATAGTCTGAAATGCTTGTCTCTTGATAATTCTGCATATGTTATTTCAGTTCGACATCTAGGCCACAGCTGTAGTCACCTATTTGTTCACTCATGTGAAACATTTTAATGCTTAAATGAAGGTTTGAGATTAAAATCTTCAATTTAAGCAATCTGAAACATGGCAGATCTTGTTTTAAGAAATTTACCTGCCATAACAATAGTTAAGATACAAAATATTAGTGTTAACCCTTCTCATCCAGTTTTAGTTTATAGATTGAAAGCTCTTTGTGTCTCTGGGCAACTTGATCTGTGTTGGCTCTGGAGGTTGCCTGAGATAATCTCCAAGGTCCCCTTCAATTTGATTTATCAATTAGACTGTTATTTGTGAGATGAGAGCCCTTGTAATCTTCTGGTTTTGAGTGTGATGAAGGAATTCTGCTTAGCTTTCAGTCCAGCTTGCCTGTTCCAGGATGTTTATGTTACAGACTGATCTTGTCCTGTAGTATGCTGTGTATGGGGATCTCCTTCCTTGCTTGTTCTTCTTAAGATTTAACACCTGAAATGGGTTCCATTAGGGAGCTGTAAGGTAAATCAGACCAGTTTGAGATAAATACTGCATGTCTGAGTGTATTTGTATGTGGGCGGCCTTAGTGACTGTGCTGTATTTTAGTGAGATTAAGCTCTTAGCAGAGTTGTCTTTCACCTGTGTCAGTAACACACCTGGTTATTACCATTAACTTTTATAACAAGCAGGTACATGGAAAATCAGCAGATGGTTAGATTTCTTCTTCATGGGTCAAGCTTCTGGATGTGCACATACCAAAATGCTTGTAACGCTTCCTTTACTTTTAATGTTTGTAGCAATTGGAAGAAAAAAGTGAGGACGAGGAGGATAAGGAGTGCTTGAAGCAAGCAATAACTGCCCTGCTAAATCTTCAAAGCAGTATGGAACGGATATGCTCCAAAAGCCTTGCAAAACGAAGGCTTAGGTAAACGTTTCCGTTTTTTCTGCTTTCTGCTCTTAGTGCTTTGCTAAAAATCCAGGGCTCCCGGTTTCCTCTTTTATTAAACAATGAACAAAATAGTTTGCGACAAGCCTGCTTTTTCAGAGGAAGTGACATCAAAGCCAAGATAATTTGTTATTGTTTTAAAACAATTCTAATTTCTATGTGTCCTTGCAAACTGGTAGTTGAGACGTTCTGAGAACTCACTGGTAAGTAGACACTTACAGCATTGGTGGGTTAATTGTGCTCAGATAATAAATATCCACCTAAAAATGTTCTATAAATACCTTTCTATGTGGTTAGAATGTTTTTAAATTTGAAACTACTCTTCAAATTGTTTCAGTATTTTCTTTGCTGACAAGTTTTGTGCTGCCAAGGGTAATCTTTAGGCTTGAACATGAATGCATTTAACAGCTTATTTCTTTCTGAATGTATTTGTTTCAAATTAAAGCCATCTAAAATTGCTCTGTTGGTTATGGAAGTGAGTGGCTTGTTGGGCTAAGAAGCACTCACAGCTTGCCTGCCTCTGGTTGCTTGTGTTTAGGTAAGACATCTATTGCTGAAGATAAGTAGAAGATTTATTAGATGAGATACTTTAGTCAAGCCTTTGCAATGGTGCTGATACTGTATGATGAAATTGCATTCTCAGTGGAATCCTTGCTTCTCAGAAAGACGATCTGGTGTTTTTGTGTTAGTGGTTGTGTTTTTTTACATCCATGTGTACTAATAGGCTCCCTTTCTCCCATCCTCCACTGAAGTGAATCCGCATGCCGGTTCTATACTCAGCAGATGAAGGGGAAGCAGCTAGCAATTAAGAAAATGAATGAAATCCAGAAAAATATTGATGGTTGGGAGGGTAAAGACATTGGACAGTGCTGCAACGAGTTCATCATGGAAGGAACACTCACACGTGTAGGAGCAAAGCACGAGAGACACATATTCCTGTTTGATGGCTTGATGATCTGCTGTAAGTCAAATCATGGCCAGCCAAGACTTCCTGGTGCTAGCAATGCAGAATATCGACTCAAGGAAAAGTTCTTCATGCGAAAGGTACAAATCAATGATAAAGATGACACTAATGAGTATAGACATGCTTTTGAAATTATCTTAAAAGATGAGAACAGTGTTATTTTTGCTGCTAAATCAGCTGAAGAGAAAAACAACTGGATGGCAGCATTGATATCTTTGCAATATAGAAGCACGCTGGAAAGAATGTTGGATGTAACAATGTTGCAGGAAGAAAAAGAAGAGCAGATGAGATTTCCAAATCCTGAGCTTTATAGATTTGCAGAACCTGACTCTGAAGAGAATATTGTGTTTGAAGAAAGTATGCAGCCCAAATCTGGAATCCCCATCATCAAGGCAGGAACTGTTGTGAAGCTCATCGAGAGGCTGACTTACCACATGTATGCAGGTGAGGCACTTGGTTTGTGCAGCCAAAGCTCAAGGTAGTTAACTCGTTTGTGCTTCTCCTGTGTTGAATACATGCAGCAAAATACATAAAGTGAGTAATGCTTGGCAGTTCACATGGGATATTGCATGTGCGTAAGATAGTTCTCATGCAAGGAATGGGGGTGGGGGCCTGCAGCAATTGAGCTCTAGACAATACTTTTTCCTTTTTTTTCTTTATAAGAACTGCTTTCCCTCCAGACTTCTAAAGATGGGTGACACAGGAAGCGCCAGCATTGTGGGATAGAATTATGGGCCCAGTGTTTTCAGTTCAGAGTTGTACTCCTGTCAGCTATTACCTGTGTCCATGCTGGCATGCCATGGAAAGACTAGTATCAACTTGATAGATGCAGTCACTTGCATGCTTTGGCCTGAGAACTTTGCCTTAATCAGAACTTTAGTGAGGATTTGATTTAAGGACTTTTCACTTAGGGTTTCTCTTTGTGTTGAAGACACATTAAAGACATTTAGGTAGTTATCCAGGTTGACCTCAGTGTGTGGGGTTCTTCTTGATAGCAGCCCAGGATTTTCATAACCTGTGCTGCAAAGCCTGGTCTTGTGTTTGGGGTTTGGCTTTTTTTTTTCTCTGATTCTGTCTGTATGTCAGTTACTCTGAAACTTCATGCATCTTGGTATTAGTGCTTTTCATATTCAATGATTTTTTTTTTCTTCCTTTTTGCACTCTTAATTGTTGTAGGTTGTTCTGCAGCACAGTCCTAGATACCCTGCATAGATCAGGACTACTTGTTTGAAAGAAATTAGGACTAAGCAGAACATAATTTCTGTAGATTAGTACTCTGTTTACTTTTTAAAATACTTACATTTATATCTCTTTGCTCCATTACTATTCTTATTCTTCTTTTAATTTCCTTGAATTTTTCTAACATTTACCAGAAAGCCAAATGCAATGTTGTGCTGGCAGTTTCTACCTGAGCAGTTTTGTACCTGTCTTCATTTTCCTGTAGCTTTATAAACTTCTAGCTCTTTGAATTTTATAGGTATGATTTATGACATAATTTTATGGTCTTGAATGGTAAAATCAAACAACTCAGCCTTAGAGAAAGGAAGACACTTTTCTGTTATTATTTGTAAATCTTGTGTTGTCTTTGCCAAAAAATTAGAAAAACTATTGTATGAGAAAGCTGAGAACATGGGTACTGAGAGATGGCCTAAAAGACTTTCACCAAAAGGATAAAAATAGTTGTCTTATAATGTATTTAGCCTGTCTTTGTAGCCTTAAACATCTCAGTGGACATCTTAATGATGCTACATTGTGCATAATTTCTCAACACTCTTATCTTCTATATCTTCTGTTTTGTAATTGGTTATCTGTAAGGAAAAACATCATTGTTCTCACTATTCTGAGCAGTCTTTTTCAGGACAGCAAAGAAATAAGAGATAGAGTGACTCAACCAAAAATGCTCTGTTGTGCAGGAAACGTGGTCCATTTGTAATGTAAATCATTCAGGGTTTTGTTGCATCTTGTGAGATCCAGTGAGAAGGGCAGCAGCTCTCCATAGTACCAGGTCAGCTCTTTCACATGTGTCAGCTGAATTCAAGGCTTCTCTGCTTGGAGACCTGGGAAGATGAGTCCTGTGGTGATATGTAACCAAATGGCTACAGACTGTAGAAATGCTTTTCTTGCCCCACACATGATTGTGCACGTGTGATGGTTACCTTAAAAGTCTTCATTGCCTTTATATTCAGTTGCCAGAACAGCAAGGGTTTACCTTTCTGAGGCAATTTTTCTGAAATTCAGTGTGACTGGTTATGGCAGCCCTTGATCTGACAGTCTAAAGACAGTATAAAGCTGTGACTTTTCTCTAGGTTTTTATCTTTGTAGGTCAACTGGCATAAGAAATCATTACAGATACACTTGCAAAGGTTATACGAATTTGTTGCAGTTTAGTCAGTTGCTGTAAGTCAAATCAGGTCCCAATTTTTCATAATATATGAAGATCCACGCAGTCCACATTGTTTATAGATATGGATGTTGGACCTTTTATATGTCATCCTTCACCCCCTTGACAAATGACAAAACGTTTTATCAGCCAGAATTTTTTTGCTATGCAACAGAGGCAGCTCTAAGGAAACAATTCTGCCGGAGATGGTAGTCATCCAGCCACTGCAACTCAGCTCAGACAGGGAGACAGGCCTTATGGCCACAAGGTCTGGCAGCCTGTCCGAACTATCCTGCAGTGGAGTAGCAAAACAGGGAGAAATCTCCTCTGCGAAAACAGCTTTCCATGTATTTTTGCATGAGAGAAATTACCCTGCAAAAGGAAGTTCAGGTTCTGACTTTATTTGCATATTCTGGTAGGTTTTCCTTGTTTTAATGTGTTTCTGCATTCATTATCTCATCTTGCCCGATTCTTGTTTAAAAGCAGCTGGATTAGGTGTTACCAACATTTTAAAGTCATGGCATTTTTTTTATCAGTAGGGCAACACTCTTCTATTTTCAAAGCTTTGATATGTTAAGAGTGCTTGTGCGTCATCATAGTGTCCGTTTCCTTTCTTAAGGAATTCAAGGGTGATTATTTATAAATCCTCGTAGAGCAGTTATTGTTCTTTTTTAGCTTTCAAATTGGCTGCATTGAAGAAAGAGTTATCACATGAGCAGACATCCTGGCTAACTGGTGTTGTCTGTATTTTTTTAACACTTACTCATATATTGTACACTATTTTGAGTCACAGTCGTTGCTACTAAGATAACACAGTTAGATTTGATTTTTTGATCTACTTCGTTTGAAATTAAATATGTATTGTGGATTTATATCTTGACCCTATCTGTAAATAACAATAGCTACGACTCAGAGCTTGCAGTGATATGAAAATATTAATTGGTATGGAAGCTCTTTTTTTAATGTAGACAAAAATCTTCTATTTAGAGTAGATGCTGTGTACAGATTGCAAGCTGTGAAAGCATCAGTTACAGTGCTTCTTTAGCACAGCAGAATTTGTGTGAATGAATTTTCATAATGAAGATGATGTGAACAAGGATGACCTTCTTTGTGTAAAAAGTATTGGACTTCTGCCTTTGAAAATAATTTTAGACTGTACAGTTTCAGGGACTGGTGGGAGAGGTATTATGATTAGAAAAATGGAGTAATAAACGACATGTGAGAAGCATAATAGCCAATTGTTTAAGAAATTAGAATTATCATGCAAAAAATTTGCAAGGGAATGCTGTGTTACATGGCACAGTTAAGGTGTGCAGCACATCACTGTGCAGTAAACTGTCACCCAAATGAACAACTCAGTGGGATCTAAGAAAGGTAGAATGTTCATTCAAATGGACAAGATGCTGGTAAACAGTAAAGGAGGATTTTAAAGCAGCTTTTAAAAATCCATATTCCAGGAAACAAATCCAATAGAGCATTAGGTCAAATAATGCAGCCTTTCTATCCTACATGTTACAGCCTACAGGAATTCTTGCTTGTCCTATGTGCTCCTCTTCAGCCACTCTGTGCTAGGAAAATTCCCAACTGGGGTTTGGTTTTCGGGTCTGGATATGGATTTAATATGCAGAGCTGTCACAATCTGCTCATTAATTCTGTTCAGTGATAACAGTGTTAACCTTGTTTCTAGTCAGCTCTGTGCAGTGCCAGTGAACTGTCACTGCATTTCCTCATATTTGAAAACGAATGGGTTTGCTTTTGTAATTATGAGAGACACTTTGGTTTCTGTTTTGAATATTTGATTGTTTTTAAGACACATTTTCATATTTTAAATGAATTGATATGTAGTTAGTCAATTTAAATGAAATCAGTTGATTTTCTTGAAGTGAAATTAATTTAACCTCTAACATAGCTGTCAGATAAAAAATGTCTAGGCTGTCTTAACCATAACTGATTATCAGTTATGCCAGTTTAGGGGAAATATTCTGCCCTGGAAGAAGCCACTTCTACCCAATGCAAAGTTACCTAATGTGTTTTTTGAGTTCTTATGTCCAGATCACTATCAAAACCAAAGTTGTTTACGCATAAATAAAGTCATCTGTTCATTATTTTCAAAATCATCGGCAAAGAATGCTGTCTTTAAACAATTGAAGGGGAGAAAAATCGTTGTGTACCTTCAACAGAATAAAAACTGGTTTTAAGTTCTGCTTTGTATTGCTATTTTAGGAGGTTTAGAATTGTTACCAAAGCCATTTTGGTTTACATCATCTTCTCTGTAAATTGATAGTGTGACATCCTTAATTTTAACAGATAATTGAAGTTATTGTAAAGGAAAAAAAATCAGGTAATTGCTGACATAAGTGTAAAATTATTCTTTGTCTTAGATCCCAACTTTGTTCGGACTTTTCTCACAACATATAGATCCTTCTGTAGACCTCAAGAGTTGCTGAGTTTGCTAATAGAAAGGTATGCCACTGTTAAAAATACTGTTCTTATGAAGTGCATTTTTTTTCCTTTTTACTTGGAGTGTGTAAGATTCTGGCTTTCCAGTTGATTTTGAGTCGCTTCAAACACCTTTTCAAAAATTGTCCAATTCAAGGATTGCCAGTAAAATGTACAAGTTTATATCCATAAGCTTGTGCCCGAGATGGGTGTAGCAGAGTCCTAGTGCTTACACCCATCTTCTGTGCTAGATTTGAAATTCCAGAACCTGAGCCAACGGAAGCCGACCGTATTGCCATGGAGAACGGAGACCAACCCCTCAGTGCAGAGCTTAAAAGATTTAGGAAAGAGTACATTCAACCTGTGCAGCTACGGTGAGTGCTGCATCCCTGAATTCCTTCTGAAGTGCCACCCTTTGGCTGCACCGGCTCTTCGTGCAGCCATGGGCCTTCCTTGCAGCTGCTTTGGTAGGGAAGGTGGAGTGAGCTGTAGCATATTTGTTTATTCTTTGCTTTTGCAGAGTATTAAATGTGTGTCGACACTGGGTAGAGCACCATTTCTATGACTTTGAAAGAGATGCTGACCTTCTGAAACGTTTGGAAGAGTTCATTGGAACAGTAAGAGGTATTTACGATTTTTTAAGTGCTGACATTTTTCCTAGAGCATCCCGTTTCTGAGGTATGGAATGTGATCACTTTTGCTTTCAGGGAAAACAGGATGGACTGCTTATTAAATACTTCATAAAGAGCATGAAATAAACTTTCATTAAGCCCACACACACACTGTTATTCAAAATCTGGCTCCTGTTCAGAATAATGATTGTTACTAACGTCAGTTGTGAATTTTGTTGTAGAGGGACTGAAATAATGAAAAATAATAAGAACCAAGTAATGATCAGGACAAAATAATTGCTTTGATTGTCATTTTAAACTTAACACAGGGGTAATTTTTGTAAAAGTTGCATGGTGGAAACCATTATTTCTTTGAAACAAGAGTTTCCAACTACTTCACAGTGCATATTAGAACTGTAGGACACCTTACCATTGTTACTGTACAGATTTTTCCTGTTTCCTTTTAATTAAAACCAAGACAGACACAGGAGCAATTTGTAGGAAAAGACTATGTCAAAGAAGTGCTTAGTGATTATTTAGCCATTAAAAAGAGGGCAGAATGAGGCAGTTAATACAATGGGTGTTACTGGTAAATTTTCAATGGACTGGTGTGTGAAATTCTTATGGTGCAGATCTAAGAAGGCATTTGGCCTTTCAATTTTATTCTCAGCTTTGATGGTAAATGCAGTACAGAAAGAAGCTTCTCCCTGTTTGTTATTTTGACTTCCTAGGTTATCTGAGGTAATCACCTGCTCTTGCCCAAACTATAAAGTTCAAGGTATTTGCAGAAGTGCATTTTGGGCAAAACAAGATTTGTTCCCAAAAACTCACTGTAAACCCAGAAAAGAAAAAAAAAAACAAAAACACTGAAATCAGAGCAGGAGTCTAATTTAGATGTTCTGATTTGTGCTTGGGCAAAGTTCATGCTCAGCATTGGCTGTTGAGGAATTCTTTCTGTCTTTGAATACTTCTACACTTGTGTGAGAACGCTAATCCTAAAGAATATATGATTGCTTTAGTTTAATAGGTTTTGGGGTTAAATCCAAAGATTCCTGAGTTATACTGATGTCTTAGGAAAAATAGTATTAACTAAATAGTAATTTTCTGTGTGCTCCAGGCAAAGCCATGAAGAAGTGGGTTGAATCCATCACAAAGATAATCAACAGGAAAAAGCAGGCACAAGCCATTGGGCCGAGCCACAACATCACTTTTGAGAGCCCCCCTCCAGCAATTGAGTGGCACATAAGCAAACCAGGCCACACAGAGACTTTTGACTTGCTCACTTTACATCCCATAGAAATTGCTCGGCAGCTCACTCTACTGGAGTCAGATTTTTACAGGTAACTTTCTTCCACTGAGAAGCACGTTGCACAAATCAAAATATTCTTCATGCCTGAAATTGTTTCTGAGGACCTCTGATGTGAAGCCCCCTTGATTTTCCACAGAAATCAAGGGACTTTTACTGGTGGTGTATATTAATTTCCATTTTTGCAGAGGAAGCTCTCTTAAATACAATATGTGTTTTATCCTCTCCAAGTTAATGTGCAAGTGTGTGTGACTGTTGTATATTGTTAATTGTGTTGTGCTCCAGCTTTCTCATGATATTTTCTGAGCAGATCAACCTTTGAGAAGTATGAACAATTATTAAATCAGTTTTCTTCACATCCTAGTTTGTGTAGCAAGTTCAGGACCGTGTCAGATCTCATCAGCTGTCTGTAAGAAATTATTCAGGCATTGGAAGCTCACATTTTTGTTATGGTGAATGAGACGGAGATTTCATTCTTCATTTAGATGAACAGAGGTGGTGAACAGTCACATAGATTATCTGCAGTCTAAAAAAGAAGCATCGAAATACCAGTCATTTAGTCATGAGGGCAGCCTAACATTGTAGAAGAATTTGTCTAAGAATTTGTCTAAATATGAATTCCAAATTCAGTGAAAATCAATAGGGTTTGGAAAAATAATACCTTCTTTCCTGCTTTTAGTTATATTTTTTGATAAAACATCTACTTTTCCAGAGCTGTGCAGCCATCGGAACTAGTTGGAAGTGTGTGGACAAAGGAAGATAAAGAAATTAATTCTCCCAACCTTCTCAAAATGATAAGGCATACAACTAACCTAACTCTGTGGTTTGAAAAGTAAGTGACTTTGCTGAATCTGCACCTACTCTATATCTGAACGTTTACAGTCCATTCGCAAGTATACTGTGAAAAATTCTGTTCTGGAAGAATTTCTGTTTTGGTGTTTAGATGCTAAAACTGGTCCCTGTGAGAATTTTAACATAATGGTCTCAACCTTTTTATTCTTAGAATATTTTCAAATCTCTAAGACATTTTCAGAACTACCTCGAGTAATTTGATAAAATCATATTCGTTTGTGTTACAACTTAATATTTGACTTTGGAAACCTCATCAGTGCTTTAACACAGACCCCAATGTTCTTGTGTATTTAGATGCATTGTAGAAACAGAAAACCTAGAGGAAAGAGTAATTGTAGTGAGCCGGATAATTGAGATCCTGCAAGTTTTTCAAGAGCTAAACAACTTTAATGGTGTCCTTGAGATTGTCAGTGCTATGAACTCCGCAGCAGTTTATAGGTTGGATCATACATTTGAGGTACAGTGAAATGTTTTCCACTTTTGCTATGTCAGTGTCATACAGGGTACCTTGGCTACACTGAAAGCCTGTCTTGTCAGTAAGCATGTGCTTCCAAGGAGCAAGGAAAGTAAATCCCCCAAGAAATTAATCAACCAGGTTGTAAGAGAGAGGGTTTTCTCCTTCGTTTCAGAAGCCAGAAATCTATCCCCACTTAAGAAAGGCATCTCAGGATGGTGGGGCCCTGTCTTCTTGGTCCCTGATTCATGTACCAGTGGGGGCCATTACTCTCAGTATTGTTGCTGGGCCATGCTTTATATTCTCTTTCCAAACAACCTTCTTGATCTCTCTTTTAAGCAAATTCCAAGTCGCCAGAAGAAGATCTTGGAAGAAGCTTATGAGCTGAGTGAGGACCATTATAAGAAATATTTGGCAAAACTCAGGTCCATTAATCCTCCTTGTGTGCCTTTTTTTGGTGAGTACATTTGGTTTGGATGAGCTGTGTCCCACATTAATATTTGGAAAATACCGAGCTAAGGTACTAAACAGAGTATGAACAATAGAGAGAAAAGTCAATTTTAACAGGACAGATGGCTTGGAATTTCAGGTGCCCAGACACAAATACATTTAAAATAACCCTAAAGTGACTATTCAGGGAAGATATTATTTGTAGTTAAAATAACTGTATCTTCAATGTCCTATTTCCATATTTGCTGATTTTTACTTTGAGTGTGATTTGAACGGTTGCAACCAAAAATACTCTCAGTAGAAAGCAGTCACATTAGAAATATTACTGCCATTGACTGGGAGAGAAAGAAAGATCTTCCTCATCAAGGGTTCGAATAAATATAGCTAGAGCCTCATTTCTATTAAAAAGCCTTATTTATATGACTGAAATATATGACTATATGTATTTTTATATATTTGTATTTTATATTTATAAAGTCTTCTTATTTACATATATCTATATGCAGAAACAAAGTTGGGAAAGGAAGCATCCTGTTTATCATCATATTTAACAGTTCTTCTTTGAAGTAGATTGCTGAAATTTAGCGAATTGTGATGTTAAGCACATGTCACTCTTATTCTTAAGCAAGCCACTTAAATATTTGCTGCAGATCAGTTCCAAGTCTGGACAGTGCACTTGCCCAACATAGGCTTCAGGCCAAAACTGAAAGAAGATAGTGTTGATGGCTTTTTTGGCCTTTTACAGATTGGACAAAGATATATTCCAGAGCTCTGCAAAGAAAGATAAGGATAAGATCAACTAAGAAACCTTCTGTCCTGCTTCAGAGATGAGTGGAGGTTAGCAGGATCACATGTGAATAGCTTCAGTTATTTCTGTCAAGTCATAATGACAATTCCAGACACATGATCTGTGGAGTGGAGAGCACTTTTTGCTTCCGAATCTCCAAATTATTTGATGCAATTATGAAGCTAGAATAAAACTTGAAAATAATTTTTGGATTTAGCTGAGATGTCTAGTGGAGAAGAGGAGTTAAGAGAAAGCACTCCTGTTCAGTGTCCTCTTTTAGTGTTCAGTTGTGTGAGCTTCCTAAACCGTAGAAAGGTGCTTTGGGACTTTGATCCAGAAAGGCATCTTTCTGGAAAACGCGTATTAAAATATTTAAATTATTGCCCTTATTGGAAGCTGAGGTGCGATTCTCTTATTGTCCACAGCAGAAGAGTTTTCTGAATAATTGCAGTGCACAAATTAAATTCTTTAAGAATTCCATGTATTCCAGTTGTGACTTCCTTGTTGTTTTGTACTCTCTGTTGAAAACCTCTTCTGTGTGCTGTTTAGGGATTTACTTAACCAACATTTTGAAAACAGAAGAAGGCAATCCTGAATTTCTCAAGCGACATGGGAAAGACCTTATAAACTTCAGCAAGAGAAGGAAGGTAGCTGAGATAACAGGGGAGATCCAGCAGTACCAGAACCAGCCATATTGTCTAAGAGTGGAATTTGACATCAGGGTAAGTGACGTGATTTCCTTCTGTAGTGATTCTGTCAGCTGACCGTAAGCACAGACTGAATCAGAGATGAGCAGAAGACCTGTCATAAAACTCCTCTTGGGTCTCACTGGAAGAAAGGCTAGAAAGCTCAATGCTTGCAGTTTCTTGAGTTTGTTTCATTTTTTTTTCTCAGCTGTTGGGACATTGGTAGATCTTCTTATTGATCAGTGTTAGACAGGAATTGAAACTGGCAGATTCTCATTGTCCTTCACTCACTTGCAATTATTTGTCCAGTGAGCCCAGTTGTCTTTTCCTCCTCTGTTAACACTGCCTTTATGTTCCATGTTTACATGATAGCACTGTGTTTACATCGTGTGTTGATGGTGATGATACTCATATCTTTCTTTCTCTTGGTGCTTGCTTTCCTTGGTCTGAGGTGTTGCCTAAGTAGTGTCCTCTCTGGTTGCTTTCCTTTCTTCCTTTTTTCTTTTTTCTTACAGTCTTTTGAGCTATACTTTCAGAGAGTCACAGGACATGTTATCTTAAGAGATTCTGCAAGGTTTTTTTTTAATTTGTTCTCCTCAGGCTTTGACAGAATGCATTGTGGGAGCAGCCTTCCCTGCATCACTGTAAAGATGGATTGTTTGCAGCTTCTGAAAGTATTTGAGCAAACCTGGTCTGATTTTGCACTGCAGAAAGCATTTAGGGTACTTTTACACAGCTGGTTTTCAAGCCCAAGCATAGCAGTAGCAATGTCCAGAAAAGGCCTGTCAACAAACAGATTTAATAGCTTAAGTCTGTCATTACCTCTGACTCCAGCATTTTCTCTCTTCTCTTGAACAGTTGTGATCATTTGTGCTGTAGAAACTAGCAGTATTAAGAAGCATCTTAGCTGACAAGTTGTCTGCCTTATTGTATTGCAGAGATTTTTTGAAAACCTGAATCCAATGGGAAACAGCATGGAGACAGAATTTACAGATTATCTGTTCAACAAGTCACTGGAGATAGAGCCACGGAATGTCAAGCCTCCTCCAAGATTTGTTAGTATTCGATTTTTGTACTTATTTTCCAAAAAGTGCTTACATTTGTCATTCTTAGATGGCAGAAGTCATTTCAGATCTCTGACTTCATAACTCCAAAGCTACATTTAAGTGATCCCATAGCCTTTTGATTTTAATTGATAGTTTCTGTCTTTTCAGCCCAAGAAGTACAGCTACCCTCTCAAGTCCCCAGGTGTTCGTCCCTCTAATCCAAGGCCAGGTACCATGAGACATCCCACACCCCTGCAGCAGGAGCCAAGGAAAATCAGCTACAGCCGCATCCCAGAGAGCGAGACAGAAGCCACAGCGTCTGCCCCAAACTCGCCCCGGACCCCGCTGACCCCACCCCCTGCTTCTGCCACTTCCAGCACCACCGACGCCTGCAGCGTGTTTGACTCAGACCCCTCCAGTCCTTTCCATACAAGTAGGTGGTTGCAGACAGCATGTGCCAGTCACATTTTGTGGTGTTAGGCAGAAGAAATCAGATTTAGCCTTCTAAAGTAACTGTAAAAATCATTGCTTTTGTCTCCTTGCAGCATCAAAAACTTTTGGTATTTCTTACTCCCTTTTTCTTCAAAAAGTTTTTATTGTAAAGGAGAAGCTGAAAAGAATTAGGTGTGTTAAACAGGGACTGTTACAAGTCTTTAGAGGACCTGTCAAAACCAAAGGCAGAGGTAATATCTAGGGCCCATATATGTCCCAAAGAAACTTGTGGGATTTGCTGCCATATATGTATGTGTGAATGTATTTGGTGACTATCTGATGGTGAACTGTGAGAATAAAAAATTAATCATTTGTGGGTGCCTTATTCTGCTGCCTGCAATTCAGAACTGATTTCAGTGTACATGGATGAAATTAATTCAGAACTTAAAATCAGCATTTGCTTGCTTTAAATCCGTCAGGACATATCCACGCTTCTTCTGTCTTTCCCAACATACAAGGAAGATCGTATTTTATGGTGTGCCCTTAGTATTTAATAATGGATATAGGCTCCTTTCACATATGAGGCTTTTCAGAGGTTACTCCTGTGTTCATCTGGTTTCCACAAGGAGATGAAATTACTTCCTAAAGGCAGAAGTTCCTTAGCAGAGCAGTGTCATTGCTGAATATCCAAGCCAGATCTTTAGAAATCCTCTGGAGAAGAAAGGATTTCTTTCTTGTTGGGTCCATCAACTGCAGGTTTAGGATATTGTTTTAGTGCTGTTGTAACGTAAGATCAAGTTTGTGGTGTGGTTTTGGTCTCAAGGATTACTCAAAGAGAGTTCAGGAGCTGATGGCCACAGAGATCTTTGCAGCTCAGAAAAGCAGTTTATCTGGCAGCTGCAAGTTAGAGGCTTGTTTTGTTGTCTTTATTTACCGCTTCCTTGATTCATGGTGCTTTTTATGAGCAATCGCTTTATTATTTATGACACCTTTATTCGCAGCAATATTGAGCCGAAAGTTTATCATTATCAATTTTTTTAATGTCCCTTAGGATCTGCTTCTGTGTCATCCATAAACTTTGCGAAAACTTTAGATGATGCTCCTGTCCCTCCTCCTGTTCCTCCACGAAGAAGACCAGAATCTGCCCCAGCTGAATCCTCCCCATCAAAAGTAAGCAGAGAATAGGTAATTTGTTCTTCTAGGAGAAGTGAGGCAGATATGATAGAAAAGTAACTCTTAAAGACAGTGCAATTATTTTTTGAAGAATTGTATGTGAAAGAGTAAGCAGCTATGTATTTCAAGCCTTCACAACCCTGCCTTGCTATGTCTTGATTTCAAACAAATAAAAACAGATGGGACCTAAATTTAGGGTTAGAAATGTCTCATCTACTGATGTGCTATGCTCAGGCCGTTGCATTGCCTGTGAGAACTTGAGGCTTCACGCAGATGTTTCCATTAATTGTTTCAGAGTATCATTTTAGGATATATAAATAAGAGTAAGAACTGATGAACAGTAATGATGGAAAGTGCTGTACACAACTCTATCCTCTGGAAAGTTTCACCAGAATATTTGACCCTGATGCTGTGGTGCTCAAATGCTTGCTTTCCCTACTTGCTTACCCATCCTGTCTGCCTGCCTGCTTAAGCCATGGCTGCATTTTCCTTTTGCATTTGTCTGACAACTGGGATCTGATCCAGCCTTGTCGCAGACAGTATCAAATTTCACCTGATTTCAGTGGAAGCTCAATTGTGACTTCAGATTTGAAAATTCTACTCAAAATTACTTCAGAGCAGATAGGTCTTAGAAAAGAGCTTATAAGTAGCTCTTCAGCAGTTATTTTCAGACTACAGGAAACTGTTTTGTCAGTCAGCAGAATTTAACACATCACCAAAATGTATCTGAAATCCTGCCAAAATGGATTTGAAAACATTGTGTACATGATAGGGTGTTGAAGATCAGTTATCCTGTCACTGTGGTCTGCAGCTTGGGAACTGTTCTCTTCCATAATTCTGACTACTTAATTCCATCATCTGAGCATAGTTTATTTTTTTCCCTGTTCAGCATCATCAGCCTCTCCTTTTTCTCGTTTTCTTGAAGAAATATCTGGTGTGTTAACCCACTCCAAGTGCTTGTTACTGGGGAGGTGGTGGGAGATATCCAAACCTTGCCAGCAAGCAGACCTGGAACTAGCATGGAAATTGTTGCTTTGACCATTCTTTGCCTTGCCCTTGTCCCTCTCTGTGCATCTTCATTCCTTCCATCCTTGGCTGTTCACTCATGTGTTGCTGCACCCCTGCTAAGAGCAATCTACAGTGCAGGAGGGGGCTTCTGTTTCACAGCAGGGTCCTGTGCTTTGCTGCCACTTTGGAATTTTACTGACTGAAATGTTTGTGTACCTCAGATTACTTCTGCACACCAGGACAACCCACCAGCAATCCCTCCTAGGCAGCCAACCTCTAAAGTGTATTCTCCAAGGTACTCAGTGCCTGATCGGACCTGCGTCTCTGACTCCTGTGTTATCACTGCAAACCCTCCCGAGTTACCGCCACGGGAACCTGTGCGAACTCCGGATGTTTTCTCTAGCTCACCACTACACCTCCAGCCCCCACCCCTGGGGAGAAAAAGTGAACTTGGTAACACGTTTTTCCCAAACAGCCCCTGTCCATTCACACCCCCTCCCCCCCAGACACCTTCTCCACATGTAGCACGGAGGCACCTGCCATCACCACCTTTGATACCACAGGATGTGGACCTCCCTTCTGTTGCTGGACCACCTGTTCCTCCACGACAAAGCATTTCTCAACATATCCCAAAGCTTCCTCCAAAAACTTACAAAAGGGAGCACACGCACCCGTCGATGCATCGAGATGGGCCACCCTTGCTGGAGAATGCCCCCTCCTCCTGAACTGTCCCTCGCGCTGGGAGTCACATTGTCCTGGTGCTATGTCTGTTGCTGGCAATGGATGCACCGAACCTGGTGGTGTCAAGGAATTGGGATGTGTTTGCCAAACACTAAGAACTCTCTGATGTGTTGGAAATGTAGTATACAGAAATGGAATTGCAGAGACAGACTTTCTAGTGGTTAACTTGCTATTCTTGTTTTAGTATGCAGGACACTGTTCTAAAGTAATTGGACAGCTGATTGTACCAGAAAACAGTCTGGAGAGACTTCTTTGGCCATTGAGCAGAAACTGCGTTTGTACAATAATCAATCATGTCCAGTACAGGAAGGAAAAACAGTCTTGTATCCATCAGTTCCGTACAGTGGCACAGTTTTCGGAATGAAAACATTATGCACTTTTTTTAAATCTCAAACAGGGAACTTTACATCCTCCTTAGTTTTCCTTTGCTTTACTTACTCCCTGCTTTAAAATACCTTCCTAAAATTATGAGAAGGACTGTGAGGAAGATCTGTGGTACCTAACCGAGCTAGAATTAAGGCAAAGCATTGCATTGCGGTCCTGTTTACAAGTTGTTACAATGAGGAGTAGGGGGTACCTAGGCTTCACCAAAGAGGTACTTTATTATTATTTTCTGAAATACTGTGGTGCCAGTTCAAAAATAAATTTTTGCCAGGAAGCATAATGCCTAATTATTGCTTTCTTTAGATAGAGTGGATGAAAGTCTTACATGATCGAGGTGACAGCAATTTTTTTTTTAAAAGCAGCACCATCATCTGAAGCAAATATACTACATTTAGAAGACTGTTAATTTCTGCTAGGTTATGTCATTCTTTTTAAGGTTTACTGATAGTCCATTTCATGGCTACTAGCTATTCTTTTTCAGTCATGCCATGAAAACAGTCACTTGTCAACTTCGATAGCTATTGTCATGTTTTACTAACAACAGATTAATCAGCATACATAGAATTGCCTTGCGGTTGCATAAATCGTGTGTATATAGTGAATGTTGCATAAATATACTTGCAGATTGTTTTTAATTTAATTGAAATAAAGATAAAGATATGTTTGGCTGACATACGTTAAATTATTACATGGACAAATGTTCAACTTAGTTTTTCAGTTAAGCACTGAGGGGCATAAAAGCCCATCTTGTGGTACATATTTTTCCTAGTTCAGTGTATGTGTTCTAGTAATAAGAGACTAAAGAGGTGTTTCTGGCATATTACAAAACAATAATTCAGCAATATATGAGAGTCTGGGTTACACCCAAAATGAATTATTATACTTTATGAAGTGTTTCCCACATCGTGTATGACACATGTTAGAAAAAAATCAAACTTATATTAATCTTTACAGTGGCTTTCTCTGGCCAAAATACACATGACAAAACAGGAATGTTGTAAGTATTCTGACATGGTTTATCCATAAACCTGCATGCTGCTCTTCGGCTCCAGACGGACTGGGACAGTAATGGATGACAGTTGTTGAAGAAAAGGAGCTTTGTAATGTCCTTTACAGTAGGTATGTGAAGCATAAAGTGTCTAATCTTCAGTCCATATGGCTCATGGGGCAAGTAAAATTCCCTCACATTTCCTCTTTGGAAGAAGAACGCATCTCAGGATCTTGGAAAGTTGTGTCTCTTAAAGGTAGTGTCAGTTGAATGATGGCAGAAATCATCTTTTTTAATGCTTTCAGCAATGCCATTGGTCAGGGCCTTTTCATCCTTTAGTGTGGTCGTTACATTTGGAAAGCATTTCATCAACAGGAATGGCAGTTTTCACCACAGTTAGATATTGAAATTGTCAGTTGTATTCCTTCTTAGATATCTTTAACAATGTTGTTTTGAAACATTTTTTTCTGTCAGAAGAAAAGCAAAGTGAAGATCTCAAAACCTTGGCTTCAGAGGACAACATTTGTGGGAGCTTTATAAAAACTCAAGCCACGGGATGTATAGTTTAGGTCATGGTTTCTTTGGATAAAAACAGCATGATGGACATGCTGTTGGCAGTGTTACCTAAATTATTAGCTCCTTGGTGGGTTACCCGGAAAACTCCGTAAATTGAGACTTTCTGATCTGTATTTCTTCAGCACACTTATCTGTGCTGTTGTGCAGCTAAGGCAGAGCAGACCACCCAGTGGTGAGGTTGCTCTGTCAGGAGAGACCTTGCATAGCTTCTGCTAATCAGCAGATTTCCTAAATGTCAGTAGGTTTCTGCTTTCCTTTGTGAAATGGGGAATGCTGTTCCCTGTTTGTGGTTGAGGATAAAATTTCCTGGTGAGGTACTTGGATAACAGGTGACAATGGTCACCATGCAAGAACCTAAAGTAAACATTCTTTGGAGGCCAGGGGTCAGTCACAGTGCACAAATCATGGTGTTGACTCCGCTGCAAACAGGAAGGACACGGTCAGAATCAAACCTGTAGCATTTAGGAGTTGAATACAACGGCTAAGCTACTGTTTTGTGTCATGGCAGCTCTGTGTTAATAATTTCTGATCTGGAATGGCTTCTTTGGATCATGTTTGCATTAGTGACACTACTTTTCACATAGAAAATTAAATCATTTTAATGATGCTCTATCTCCTTGGTAGAATGACCCTGATTTGGTCTGGTGTGGCCTGGGGTGATGATGTGATCTGGACAATGAAATGTGGTTGTGTGGAGGCCTGGAGAGTTGCTGTATTAGTGTAGAGAGCTGATATATGGCTAAAAGTCAGCCAAAACCACTGCAAACTGTGCAGGCAGGGTTATATAGCAGAACTTCATAGGTTTATAAGAAAGATGGGGACAACCTTTTTGGCAGGGCCTCTTGCAGTAGGACAGAGAGTAATGGCTTTAAACTAAAGGAAGGTAGATTTAGACAAAATATAAGAAAGAAGTGTTTTACAATGGGTGTGGTGAATGACTGGCACTGGTACCCCAGAGACAGGCTACCCTGGCACATTCAAGGTCAGGCTGGAAGACCTCTGAGCTCTAGGTGAAGATGTCCCTGCTCACTGCAGGGGGTTGGACTAGATGGCTTTTAAAGGTTCCTTTCCAACCCAGACTGTTCCATGATTCTGTGGTGATTTTGCAGGTCCTGAGTATTTGCTTCTGTTCAGCCGCTGTGTGGAAAGTCGCTGTTGTGCTGCCTGGTGACCCCATGGTGACACTCCATTGTCATGGCAGTTCAGCAGCCCCTGCTACAAACTTGTCTGCTAATGGGGAATATTGTCTTCCTTCAGGGTTGATACCATGGAAGCACTGGAGTGCTCCATCCTCACTTTCCAGTGTGGGCAAACCTGCTGCTCTAATGTGCCTCTCTTAAATCAGGGAGGGAGAGGTCTGTCTCAGAAAGAGCATGCTAATACACGGGATTTAGATCCTTCAAGTTTTAGAGTGACATTGTGGGATATTTAATTATTTGTCTTTTGTGTGTGTTTTAAATTAGATTTTCCCAGTGATATCTGGAAGTACCACTGTTGAACACAGTAGATTATTGGGCTTCATGGAAAAGATTTTTGAATTGTCATTTCTAAACCCAGACAATGCATAGGTGAAATGTTTCTTTGGGAGAGAAACCTGTGGCCTCACACAGGTGTAAAAACAAAAATGCTCTTATTTTGTAAATTCCATTCCTTATTTTTCATTAAAAAAACCCAAACCACCATTCAATGCATTTTCTGACCACTGGGAGCAAATTTACCTTTTGTGTTCAGTGGGAAATAATGTATTATGAGGGAAACTAAGTAAAGAGTCAGGTTTTTTTCCTCACTTTCTAGCCAGCAGGTGTAAAATCCTGTACTGGGTGGCTGAGAAGTTGAAAGGGAAAAATAAAATAAAAGCCCTTTTGCCAGATGCATGACAGTTTAGCTGCCAAATGTGCAGAACATCTGTAATATTTTTTAAAAGAAGGTAAACAGTGGTAGGTGATCAAGGACATGTTACTGGAATTGCTTTGGACAAGTTTGTTGCATCTATTCCAGAGTAATACTTTCTTGTTTTGACTCTAGGATGGCTGACTTAATCAGGGAGTGTAGCTATGGAGAGGTGTGGTCTAGAAGAATCTAAGGAGATGAAGATCTGTCACAGTGAGCTGCAGCAACAACAGGATCTTGACTAGAAGCCTGGGGAGTGACTCAGCTGAGTTCTGCATAAGAGGCTTAGAACCTCATATAGGGAACAGTCAACAGTCAGCTTGCATGGCTGGACTTGTAAGAATACAGGATTGTGTAAGTCATGTTGCCTCAGAAAGGGACCAGAGAAACATGTTTCTTTTAATGGATGCAACCTTCTGGTTGACTCAGTACAAGAGGCAACAGCATTATTTAAAGGCAACGTTTATTTAGCACGGGAAGAAAAATAATCCAGAGCACACATGTACACTAAAGATGGATTTGAAATGGATCCTGCAACAGGTTGTGCATGTGTGGTGCCAAGCATCATTCATTCATATTAATGACATTTGCAGATTCTGAGCAGGTACAAGGACATCGCAAGTGGTAAGTATAGGCCTGGAAGTAAGAACTCATAGAGAATCATAAAGAAATAACCATAAGTTCTGACTGTGCCTTAAATCACTAAAATAGAAGCTGAATCCACATGCATTTTACAAGCAAGGGTCTGCCTCTTTGGAAGGATTTCCTCACCCAGGAGTTGTGAGCAGGTAGTTTTTTTTCCTTTGTCCTGTTTCTGTCCTGGTATCTGCCTGGCAAATATGAAAAGCAGGTTTGTTTTGTGAAGGATAAAAGTGTCATTATATACATGAGACCAAAACCACAAGAATCAGAATCCTTGACAGCATCAGTGCATTACAGTGGACACTTGTCCATAGTGATACAGCTCTGGTTCCATGGACAAACAAACAGTTCTGTCTGTGGCTGATTCCTGTGCAGAACAAATAGGCTTTGCCAATGCTGCAGTTACTAGTATCTATCTCTTCCTACGTAATTTCTATCCTGGCCCTGCACAGTCTTACTAAAAGCTGCCAAATCCTAGGAACTGTCTGTGATTCAGTGGCTGGTCAGCATGGAGCAGCCCTGACTGGAAAGGGACAGGGAATTTGTAATTTTATGAGGATGTGAGGGAAAGGGAAGGAGATAGAAGGAGATTTTTTTTTTTTGCCATTAAAAGCCTTACATTAAAAAAAATCTTCTCAGAGTAGTTTCCAAAAGCTAGGGGAGGAAATTATGGTACTTTCCTTTTTGTAAGGAGGAGAAGTGGATATTTGTTTCATTAAAATCTGTGGGAGAGGAACCAGCTAAAACATCTTAATCTTTGGGGTTTTGCTTGGTCACATTTTTGAAACGTTGGGAAAACTTTGATTGCAGTAAAGGATGGACTTTGTCTGTTTGGATAGCCCTTTTCACAGCCCTTTTCACCCTTTGGCTCCAGCAGAGGAGGAAAAGCAGGTGGTAAATGCAGGTCAGTCAACATTGGAGAGCTCTGAGCCCTGCATCTGCAGCAGGTATTGGCCGCTGCTCTAGGCTCCCCTGTCCTGCTGCCACAGCCAGGAGAACCATGCAGCATGGTGGGTGCTCTTCCCTTGGCCCCAAAATCAGCCACCCTTGTGCTGATGTGGGGAGTCCCAAGCCCCCAGTGTCACAGTATTTCCCCCAAGGCATTGCTGTTGGCCCCATGGAGACAGTTCACAACTTTTTAAAGTGAAGCTGTCCTTTAGACAGACCAGTGTCACAGGCTTGTCAAAACAAGGTGATAAAACCACAGTTGCTCTTGAAACTGCCCTCAGAACATCCCAGCTCCAGGTGACAGCCAAGCTCACCAGTACTGCATTGGTAACACCTCCGTGCCAGTGGTGCTCTTTGTGCTGGTGTGTGACACAGGTTTCACAGCAGAGCTTCTCTCAGTCTTCTGCAGAGATCAGAGTTCCTGAGAGTTTGTCATGTCCAGGTGTGAGGAGGGTGGCCTGTGTGTGGCCTTGTTGATCTGTCCTTGCACAAGAAGGAGGGCTATGACTCTGAACATGGTGCATCATTAACTTTCCTGCCCTGGTGCCTCCATTTTTAGCTGGAAGAACTTTCCCAAAGCTGCACATGGTGGGGCTCACGAGGGTGTCAGGCCAAAGAGTTAGCAAA